CCAACCCCACCGTGCTCTTTCGTGTATGTTGTCCCGAAGATGGGGAAAAAAGAAGAATGGTCGAGTCTTTAGGATTACGTCCTCCCCCATGCAAGGCGTCATTCATCAGCATCTACAGCCGTGATGGGCGTTTAAAAAACAGGGAATGAGAAATCGTCAACTCGTCAGCGTCGTCTCCAATGGGTCCTCGATGCCGAAAAGTCGTCTCGCGAATAAAAAGACAAATAAGAAAATTGGTGTGCAATGAATGTCAAGAAGCCTCTCGCTGAAGACTTCAGGATCATAATCAGTTTATCATCATGCCTCAAACAAGATGTAGCCACAACGCCCACCAATGAAGTGACTGAGGTTTTGGGTTGACACGGTGTGACCGAATGTCGCCGCCACTACCTTCCTTGCTGCTGTTGAGCCATAACAGGAGGAGCGCGAGCCATGGTGTCATACGTGGGGACAGCCGAGTTCATGAGCGTCTTTCTGCGCTTCATGTCCATGCCGCCACCGCTCAGCGGACGCTGCAGGTCATCATCATCATCACGACCGCGCTTGATGCCACTCGAGGCACCGTTCATCTGCGAGGGGTAGCCGTTGGGCATGGAGTTCATGTCGGACTGGGGCTGGTAAACGCTGTTGCCACCCGCAGCTGCAGAGTTGCGGTCGTTGCTCATTACATTATAGAGGTTGCTGGAAGATTGCTGAGCGACACGCGGAGGCGTGCTGTAGCCAGCCTGCTGGGAATAGTAGGGCTGAGGTGCAGCGGCAGTGCGGGGAGTAGCACGACCGGATGCGGGAGGGTGGCTGGGCGAGCCTGTCATCTCAGGAGACAGGTGCTGGTGTTCAGTGGGAAGCGATCCAACGGCAGGAGCGGAGTAGTTGTACGATCCACGGTTGGCGTCATAGGCACCGCTATCGTGGGTGTATTCGGCATCATGATCGTGGTCAGCCTCTTCCTCACCGGCAGGCTGAGGGGCATTGGAATCGGGATGCATGATGCCGTTCGAGGGCTTCTGATCTTGAGAGGCGCTCGTCGCAGCGGGCCGTGTTGAGGGAGGACCCATATCGTTCTTAGCATATGGGTCGTTCTGGTTGTATACAGAGCGATCCTGCGAGCCTTGGCTGGTTTGGTAAGGGGACTGCTGAGAAGACTGGTTGTACATGGCCCTTGAGCTGTCGTATTGCTGTGTGCCGGTCTGATAAGGCTGCATGTTCTGGATGGTAGAGCCGGGCGGTGTCGAGGCAGGAGTTGCGGGCATGGAGCGGGCATTGCTGAGACCGGCGTCAATAGACATGGGGTTCTGGGGCTGCGCGCTGCCCATTCCTTGAGACTGAGCCCACTGGAATCCGTTGTCTGAGGCGCCCATGCTGCCACCCATCACGCTAGAAGCGCTAGTCGGGGGAGTAGGAAACGTGTGGGCGCGGTCAAGAGTGGGGCGGCCCATGTTTGCATGGGACGGCAGAGGTTGCTGAGGTCCGGGCATGCCCATAGAATGGTGATGGTGCTGCTGAATAGACGGCAGCCCAGGGGCGCCGTTCTGGGGAGCACCGCGCATCTGGCTCTGTTCTGCCTTGCGGCGTTCAGCTGCAGCCATGACTTGGTTGGTGCGGGTTTGGTTCGTGGGGTGGTAGAGCAAGGCGCCAATGTTGTGGACGAAGAGGGGATAGAGCAGTTCGGTGATCTTCTCCTTGTTTGCGAAGTCTAAAGCCCTCTCAAAAGGGATCCTGCAATTTTGCCTCGTTAGACCATAGGGGGGTTTGTCTTGGGACACATGAAACTCACCAGACACCCTTCAGGTGCATAGGGCCAATCTTGACGACATGTCTCACTTTCTCGCTCTTAAGAATGCCGTCGCGGCGACCACGGGTCATTCCCGCGACATTCAACAGCTTGGTGCCATTGATCATGTGATTGTCTAGTGTACACGTTAGCATGCTTCAGCAATCATTAAATATGCCAATGGCACTTACCCTCACGGCGCGCGACACAAATGCCCCGTGCCTCTACCTGGAAACACAAGCTGCCTTCGTCCTCCCACAAAGTGGCTGTTACTCTGGGTTTCATGCCAGGCGGAGCGACTTGGCCAGTGGTGTCAAAACCCTGGAAACCTCCAGGGTTGACACCCGGGAGAGGCAGAACGTTCTGTCCACCCATTCCGTTGTTCACGGGAGCGCTTTGGGGCGAAGTTAAGCCATTGGCATAACCGTACGGCTGGCCGTACTGAGTCTGCTGCTGATATTGAGGCAGATGGCTTGGCTGCAACGGCGGTGGCTGGGTGTGGTAAGACATTGCGCCGGAGGTCACGGTCTGGGGCGGTGGCGCTTGGCCGGCAGACATATGTTGCGAATAGTACATGTCTGCGGCAGGTTGATTCATGGCGGGGTAATGCTCGTAACCACCAATTGACTGACTGGAAGATCCAGGAATCGCCGCGTTGATGGGTAGAGTGGGAGAAGGTGTCTTGGGTCCGTGGGAGGATGCGGCCGACGTGAAGGACGACTGCGAACCTGCGTGAGAGCTGGAAGCGGAGCCGATAGAGCTGACCCGGGGTGACGAGGTACCCGATGAGTACGCCTGATGCAAGTTGGGCAATGGAAGAGACGGCACTCTCTCACTGTTCATGTACGACGGCCTCTGAGCCGCGTGAGCGTTGTAATACGACACGTCGGTCGGTCCCCGGGTTTGCACTGAAGAAATCGACGGTAAATCCAGCTTCACGGTTGTTGCCCCGAAGGTTCTACCACCAAACACCAGAGGTCAGTGAAGTCCGGGTCGCCTTGCGAACCTCGGAACTATGGCGGCAGCAGGATTTCAGACGTGCGGAAAGAGAGAAAATCTCTTTCGAGTAGTCTTGTCGTGGTGCCGGTTCGGATGTTCGAGAAGCTTGGAGCTAGATCAATTGGCAGGGCTCAGCGGCGCAAAGACTGCAGTGGCTTCAGGCGGTGACGGTGCTACAGGGTGGGAACGGAACAATCCGTACAACACAATGATTCTTTGGAAAAAGAAACAGATCAGGACGGTCGTGGTCGTCGTAGGCAGTCGTAAAAAAATAATCAGGAGATTCTATGTTCGTAGCATCCAAGGTTGATGGAGACGACGGCGCGTTGAGAGCTGCGTTGACTTGTCGAATTGGCAGTAGTAAGCCTAAGGGTGCAGGCTGACTGATGGAGAAGCCGTTTGTCGAGGTGGCAGAAGCGTAGACTTGTGTTGAGTCTCTCGGAATGCAATGCGGGTTGCACGAAAGGAGCCGAGGACGGTGACGATGCGAAGCGAGGGAATGCCCTTCTCTTCTGAAATCGGGGCTGAGTAACAAGCGGTGGAGGGCCGTTTGTATGGAGGTCTCTATTCAGGCAGGTACCAGACACAGCACACAAACACTCGTGGAGAGCAGGTGGATCGTCTTGGTCTTCCTTGATCTTTGCGTCTCTTTTTTTTTCTCTCTTCGTCGAGCTTGCCCAACTCTTCTAATGCAGGTACATTAGCTAGGAGTTTGGCGTATATAGGATGGGGGCGGGTTTGCAGGAGGTGCAGCAGAGGAATGAGAGGGCAGATGGAGGTTAGGCGGGTTGAGGTGAGGAGGTGGAAGAAGAAGGTTGAAGAGGCATTGGAAGTGTAGAAGAAGTTCTGACTTACCGTCCTCGCCTCTTTGGCTATCCTGAGTGGAATATTGGAGGTGGTTGGTGGAGTCGTGAGAGGTAGAAAGAAAAGAAAGAAGACGGGCGTGGGAAGGTTTTGTTTTTGGTGGTGAGAAAAGAAGAGGAGGCAGGTCGAAGTCCATACATCCACAATCCACACCACACACGCCCTCGCCCATGTCCACGCCCACCCCGGCCGGCGCAAGTGCAAGGTGCAGGTGCGGGTTGAGGGTAAAGGTACCTTGCTGGGGTACTGGGGTATCCGCACTTTGGTCGACGCTGGTGTGGTACGGCGGTAGCGGTACGGACATGGCAGAGCTCAAGAGCATGGGGCAGGGTCCATGGCCCATGGGACACCGAGAGGTCGAAGCAGAGCGCAGACTCCAGGTTCGGAGACTCAGAGCGAGACGTGCAGAGGCGTACGGAGTAGAGGCAGAAGCTAGGTGGGCAATGTTTCGTAGATACGGAGTACTGTGTAGAAGAGCAGTAGGGTTCTCTCTCTCTCTCACTCTCACTCTCACTCTGCGTCGCCCGCTCGCTCGCTCACTTTCTTCTTGTCCAAGGAATCTATCTGTCTGGCCCGTACGGATACCGTACTTTGCGTACGGAGCCAGGTAGCGCGGCTCGGTGCTGGACAACAAAGTATAGCGGCGAGGACTGAGGTATCTCGCGGGCAAAAAATACGGACTCTGGTAGCGGCGTTCGACAAGGTAGGTGGGCTTGGATCGAGAAATGGCACAGGCCAAGGGCCTGCCCCCCCTCCCCGGAGGAGCTCAGAGAGTGGTGGGTTTGGCCGTTCAGTGCTGCTGCTAAGTGGACAGTCCGGCCGACCGGGGGTCGAAGATGAGGGGGTGCTTGGGGGAGGGTGAGGGACGAGCATGCTGGAGGGCGAGGATAAGGCCGAAAGTACCGTGGTACGGAGACCAGGAGGGTATCTACCAAGTGGGAAGGGGGGGAAAGGATTGAATGGGATGCCAGATGGGAGGAGAAGAGGAGAAGGAGGGGAGGAAGGTGAAGAGCGGAGAAGGGTAGGGGGGGGGGGTGCGAGAAGGAAAAGAGAAGAAAACCCGAGTTAGAACGACGACTGGCGGAAAAGATACGTACCCACTCTTTTCTTCCCACCCGGTCAGGTAAGGTACCTAGGTAGAGTATCGGCGGACAGATGAGCGAAAGTTGAGGTGCGAAGTATTCCGGTACTTCGGTTGTCGACGACGAAACCATACCACACACAAACTGGACACTCACACACACACACTGGCCCGCGGCACACAGAGAGACGCATACAGCCAACGCAGACGCGCTCCAGGAGTCCAGAGTCCAAAGGAGCGAGCAGAGCAGAATCATGGACCGAACTGACCTACCTAGCTCTTCTTCACCTATGTGCATTTGCATTGAATAACATGAAGTCGGGAGAAGCTCAGCCTCGCTCGACTCGTATCTGGAACCCAGGTAAGGTACGGACGTACTGGACTGTACTGTACTGTTTGTGTTTCTTGTCTTGGTGCCCAACCATCGTCAGCTCCTTCAACTTCTTCCTCCCTTTGCCTTTATTTTTCTTTTACTTCAATGTCTATTTCGCAACGTCTGTCTGGATGGCATGGGACGTGCACTTTGGGATGCAATGTAGTCGGTACCAACGACTCCTTCGGGGTCTCGTGTGTGGTCCACGGGTCCTTTTCTCTGCTTACACGGCCTGTAATTGGCACACTATCTTTTTGCTGTTTATTCTTTCTTTTTCCCGTCGACAAGTCCCAGGTGTGGACTCTGTTTCTCGTATGTGGACGCCGGGACGGAAGTGACAATGCTCCCCCAGTCTGTCGACTTATCCTCAGCTTCTGGATGGAGAGAACGAGAAGAAGCCTCTGGGAAAAGTGGAGATATTGACTCGTACAGAGTACCTTGTGTTCACAAGTGCCAAATGACTCCGCTCTCTCACTCTCACACACACACTCTCTCTCTCTCTCTTTTTCTCTTCCAACGAGCCGAACGGATACAGCATACGGTATGGATACGCCTACTACGTTTTGCCCTGTCTTGAGTCCCTCTCTGTCCCTCTCTGTCCCTCTCTGTCCCTCTCTGTCCATGTGGGAACCTCAATAGCACATCCATCACCTCACCTCACATTGCCTTTCCGTACCTTACCTTAGCTGGCAGCGGGCCTTTTTACTCTGCTTCTGCGTCCGCACCTCGAAACCTGTTCCTCCTTCCTCCAAGCACCGGCTCCAAAGCTCCAGGCTCCATCTCCTACTCTCCCTGCCAGTTGGATCCGTGGCTGCGTCGGTAAGCGACTCGACCGTCGGCACTCGCCTCTCTTTTTCGTCTCTTCTTCGGTCTTGACCATTGGGTCGGGCTGGGGCGTAGAGAATACCTAGGTACTCTCAGCCAGCTACCCGAGCCCTGGAAGGGTGGTACGGCCAGGCTAAGCTAACCGTCGCCGTTCGGTGGGTGTAGGGTGGTCAAAATGGAAGGGAAGGGCACCGTCAAAAATCGAGAGGGGGGGCGTGCCACGGGAGCAATGGACGTCGAGGACCTCGTTGAACGTGGGCTTCGTTGTCGTTTCCCGGGGCCTAGTGTCGTCGCTCGAGGGGCGTGGTTAGAGTAGGTCGTAGGGTAACACCAGGAAGAGAGGGGTCTGTTGTCCTTGACCAGGGTGGCCCATGGCCTGAGTTCAAGCCCCAGTCTGTCGCGGTCGGTCTGTCGGCCTTTCAGAAGGAATACTCAACACACCGGGCCTAGACACTCTGAAGCGGACGGACGACATGGAGGAGCAGGCGTATGGGCGGTGATGCATGTCCATCTAGGTAGACAACCTCCAGACTACGCAGGTAAACGCAGTTGAACGCAATCAACCAGGCCACTGTAGATGATGCCAGGACCTTGCATTGGCATGGCAGCCCGCCAGGCCTAGGGCCTACCCCAAGTCCAAGGGCTCCCACGAGACGAGGTACCAATATCTGTGCGAACATCTTACCTCACGCGACCGCAACTGCGACTGAGCAAGATGCGGGCGTGAACTTTGGCTGCTCTGTGCCAAACAACCTCGACCGACCCTCCTGTTCCCGCGCTACGGATCGATGAGACCAGAGCAATTCATCCCCCGGCGAACTGAGAGCAAGGAGCACTGGATGGACGGAGTGTAACTTGCACAAGCATCAACACCAGACACTCTGTACGGAGTATCTCGCTTGATGGCAGTATCACTATCCCGATGGGATGTCGAATGAGCCTGGCTCTGTGCAGGGACCTGGGAGATGAGAGACGAGACTCGAGAGCGATGGGGAAAAGTGGAGTGGATCCGATTTTGGAGCCCTTCAATCTGTGCTTGCCAGGCTCGTACATATTAATGCTCTTGTAAGTTGTAAGTTCGAGGCGACGACAGTCAGAGACTGATGTTGATTCTCTTGTATCTAGTTTGTCACTGTTGCGCTCATGCTCGTATTGCTTCGTCTTTTCTTTCTCATCCTTTCATGATTTGAAGAGTGGCGTCTCGAATTCTCTGCTCAAACGCACAGAGCATGGCAAGTCAAGAAACTGTCAGCTTTGGTTTGAAATATAAGCAAAGGTCTTTTCAGTCTCCATGAGATCAATCCGAAGACCCATAAGCATTGGGCTCTTTCCGCTGGCCGACTTGTCTCATTGACGTGTAGTTGACTTCTCTCAGTGGCGATGCTGGCTGTTTTCGGATCGTTCTTGAACCCCGGCACAGCCCCGGGCATGTGGACGGAGGTCGTCGGTTCCAAGTCTCTAGCTGCGCAGTGACCACTCTCAATCTTGCCAGTCCCTCAGCGCACCGCCGCCAGAGCTCCACAGTTCATCAGTGTCATTCTTGTCGAGACATCGGGAGCAGAGTGTGGAGAGCTAAATTTCAAGTCTCAAATCAAGGATTTGGGGTTATCCATTTGCTCAACAGCGAACCAGACCGGCTACAACTCACATCACTCGGACGGGATGGTCAAACCAAGACGAGATAGGCTGCAGCAAAGTCCGGCAATTTAGTAAGGCGACCCAAGCGGTTCAGCAGATGGAGATGGTGGCCGCAGCGGCAACAGCGGTTGACACCATTGCAATAAGGCGGTCTCAACGCTGGTTGACACAGTGTCCCACCGGCCGTGCTCCTCATTCCGTCCATTTTACTTGCCTACCCTTGGGCCTCGGACTTGGCGTTGCCTCTTGTGCTCTCCTTGACCCATTGGCCGTGTCATTGTTGTGACCTTTGTTGTTCGACCGAACCTCGAAAGCCGTCGGACAGACAGTGGACTGTGCGTTTGGATGCTGGATGTTTCCGCCGCAGCTGCCAATGAAGCACGGCATCTCCAGGGCCCGTTTTGTCCCGGACCTGAGTTCCGTCGCAAGGTCCTGCCGTTCCAACAAAAATGTCATGTCATCCGGTCGGCGCATGTAGGGTTCGGGTGTACATTGCTTCGAGGGGAAAGTTTAACGTACCCGACACCAAGGTACGGTCCATGTGCCATTGGCGGCGGCCAAGGCCTTCATCTCAGGGCGGCGCAGTGTCTCCAAATTGAGGTGAGCCTGGTGAGGTGGTGTAGCAAGCGGCTATTGCTCAAAGGCCTGTATCAAAGGTCAACAAGACAAGAGCCTCAATGGCAGATGATTGACAACAATGGCCTCATTATTGGTAGAAGCACCGTTACAAGTCTAGGACCCGAGGCAAGGGATAAAAAAAGACGAGGGCGAGCGAAGGAAGAACAAGAAGAAGCAAGCCAATGGCGCATCGTCGTCTTCTCGACGCTTCTGATGGACTCCAAGCACAACGCCGTCGGTTTAGCGCAGCGCGCAGCGAACCAGGAGACAGAGAAAGGGGGCGTTCGCTGTCGATTGCCGAGCCTACACTACTAGTAGAAACGACTCTGGGCCGGCTTGGGGGTATCTGACCATGCCGCTGTTGGTCCTCCCGTGCCCCCTCGTCCGTTTAGATCAAGGGTTAAGGGTTGGCTTGCCGCTTGATGCATCTCTGATCTTAGTGCGCTGGGCTGGCTGGGGGGTTCCCGACAATGATGCTCGAGAGCACAGACATTGCTGCACTGTGCGGCAGAGGGCCATGCGCATGTCAAAAGGCAGATCTTGTAACGCTATCTTGGCTGACCCTGCTGTTGTCGCCTCTCTCCATGTTCGGAGTACGGAGTACATGTCCATACGGAGCAGACGTAGGTACTCCGTGCGGATGCTGACTCTCCATAGGTCTGTCATTGTTGTCGCCGACTTGCCGACCAGGGGAGGGAGAGAATCAGGCTGGCTGGCTGGTTGGTCTGATGAGGTCTGGGTCGGCGGATTCTGTTGTGTCTTGTCTTGCCTTGCCTTGCGTTTCCTCATCTTGCAGGAAACCCGCTTTGCTCATCTGTCTCTCGTGTGCGACGTGCGTTGTGTTGCTTGCTCAATCGCTTGCTTGCTTTCTGTCGTCTCTCGAGAGTTAGACCCCGCCTCCTATGCCTACTCGACACAATATCTCGAGTGAGTGAACCTGTCCTGTGCCTTCTCCGCGCCGGACCCGCTGCGAACCCTATGTGCCTTGCCTTGCCCTGCTTTCCCTTTGCGGAGCGAGAGTGGATAATGACCAGGGTATAGAAAACCAACATGGGCAGGAGTCCCCATCATAATCATGGCAGGGTGGTGGCTGGCAGGAGGGCGCTGCAACTTCCAAATTGGTCCTTTGGAGCAACAAGTGGAGGGAACCAGGGCAGGAAGAACCATGAACGGTTTGTGGGAAGGAAAGCCGAGTTCATAGTACCTTACGTTTCCTCCTACCAGTGGCACCTTATCTACCTCAAGAAGGCAGGCACAGGTATCCATTTCGTGGTTGCGGATCGGATGTCTTTTGCTGATGGACAACTCTCATCTTCCTGACTTTCCAATTTGTCAAGTTGCGCAATATGCGACGGCGGCTACTTCCTGTTATTTATTCGACATATCGCTATCCTATCATGATGAGACTGCAGCATGCATCAGGATTGTAGTAGCTTATGTAAGGTACGGATACCACTACGTTAGATAAGCAGGCGGCAGGTATTCCGCAGTGCGCTATCTGTCTATACCGAGGAGAAACTTGCCTTCCTCAATATTGCCCAAGGTAGGAATAAACGGATACATTGTAGTTTGTAACCGTACTTTACACGCGCAAGGCAAGTACGAATAATGGTATCAAGCACAAAATGGCCTATTCAGGTTCCTTCCGTTCCGTTCCCTTTCCCTCTTGACCACTGACAGGTTCCTGAGGAAGGAAGCGGGACCTAGGCAACCTGGAAACCTCTTAGTCTTTGGCAAGCACTCAAATTCACCTCCTTCGTCCCTGGCCCCCGATGTGATGAGATTTCTTTGCCTCAGGTTTCCAACGCGGCCGGTCTTGCCTACAATTTCGCGCAAGTTTCCATTCGTGACATGGTCGACTTTCAGGCCTGTCCAGTCCAGGAAGGAATCGTCGACAAACCATGTTCCTCCCGGGTAGTACCACAGAATATACCTCCTGTCTGTCATGGGTAGTTGAGGTATCACAAGAATTTCGTTGTAGTAAGCAAGTGCCCGTCAACGTCTCGAGGATATCCTGGGTACGAAGTACATACCCTGGTGCTGCCGCCTGCGCCTGCGCCTGCATCGCGCTCCCCCCAGATAAGATCCCTTACCTTCATCTCAAGCAAGTGCCTTGCTCACTCATAGAGGCCACTCCGAGGGAAGGGGGGACTGGAATTTACTCAGGAGAGGAAAGGGATACCTACCTAGATCCTTCCATACGGATACTCTGAATTACTCTGTACTAATACGTAGATAATACTTTCGAGTTTTCCTTCAATTTGGG